CTCACACTTCTTATCAACCTGTCTGTACTGGGCTATCTTGATTATCACTTCAAAAGTTTTTTTCTCTTACTTAATTGGCCTCTCAGCGTTGGTAAGACAACTCCCACCTGTTCATGCTCTCTGTATGTGTGTATATATATATATCTCCTCAATATATGTTCCACTCTATATGCATCCGAAGAAGTGGGCTGTAGTCCACGAAAGCTTATGCTCTAATAAATTTGTTAGTCCCTAAGGTGCCACAAGTACTCCTGTTCTTTTTGCGGATACAGACTAACACGGCTGCTACTCTGAAACCTCAGTGACTAGGACAGTTAAAAGAGGACTGCACAAGACACAAGAAAAATGTGCAAGAGGAGAAAGAAAAACCCAGCACTGGTCATGGGATGGTAGTCTACCTGAGACAATAGGTCTTTTCTAGGATTCTGCTGCCAATTATTTCTGGGCCCATGTTAAAAACACAAAATATAAGCAACCGAAATGGGGGAAAGGCCCACTAGCCCCACACCACCAGTTAGCTGTCCAAAATGTAATCTTGTTTGGACATTGTCAGGCTAAAAATCACATGGGTTGTTTCTTTTTACATATTTTTACCTGGACAGTTAATACCTTTCTCTATTAAAAGGTAATACTTTAACAATCCAGGTTGAATAAAATAAACAAGTATAAATGGTGAACAGCAAATGGGACTTTAGTCTAGACTGGTCAATTTTACTTTGATTCTTGCGTTCATATCTGTATTTACATATATCCATAGTCAACCATACACAATTAGAGCACAGTCCTACTAACACTCATTCATGTAGGTCACCCACTACAATTCCCCCCCTCCCCCCCCATGCACTTTGTCTTAACTTCCCCTCTCCCAGTTTTAGTCTCCACAGGCAGCACTATAAACTTCTAGCAGCACAGCTATGTCTGTGAGGAGGTACAATTTGCAATCACCACCACTGTGTCAACAAAAGTCTACAGTGTAAACAGTTATACTGGCAAAACTGCATTTTTTCTGGTATAGCTTATTTTGCTCAAAGGGACTTCTCTCTCACACTTCACTTCATGCATCCTTTCACTCCATCCTTTATGCCTGGAATAGTTTTCTTTGTTGTACAAGCCTAAATTCTCTTCATGCAAATCCCCCTTTTACACACACCTGTGAAGCCTGAGATAAATGCACTAAAAATGTGAGCATTGTATTAAAATAAAACTCCCATCAGCACAACTTTGTGAGTGAATTACTATCAGGCCATTCAATGTGTAAATATGCTTGATCTATAAAGTCTAATTTAGAATGTAAGAGCTTTGGGGCAGGGATAACATGACCATGTTTTCAAGATAAAAAAACAGCATTTTTATAGCAACTTTTTAGGGTAATAAAATATACTTTTTAAAGTGTTCTTCTGTATGTGCTGACTTTACTATTGCCAGTTCCTGACTCAGTGACACAGGTATATTTCTGAGTACAGGACTTTTTCCAGCAACTGTCTGAATAAATTTGTCATAAAACAATGAACAATTGACATTAACATTCGCTTCAAGAAAAAACAATTTTGATAGCATTCGACTTTTCCATTCACTTCAAAACACTGTTTATCACGCTGAACACTTGTTTTACTAGACTGAGTGTTCCCAGTAAACACAGACCAAAGGATACTTGATACAGCAGTACATCTTGAACATTTTGTGGTTCTAACAAAAAATTATTAATGAAATGAAAATTGGAACATTTCAAGTGTCCTGAAAAACTGGGAAATATGGACACTCAGAGTAGAGGCCACATCTCTCATTGTGTCTATACACTGCAGAGCACACTGATGGAGAGCAAGAAATCAAAGTGGAATTTTACTAATCTGCAGTCACTTTACAGAAGTTGCACTAACAGTTTCCCCACTTCTCAGGAAAATTCAACAAGACATCACCACGGTGATTTGTCTGCATTACAAGTTTTTTTGTTTTACAAAATATACTACAGCATATGACCCTGTGAAGTATCCAAGCAATACTCAGCACTTTAAATAATCAGAGTACATTGTGGGATCCAGTAATCTTGCTCTTTTATTGGATTTGTTTACTCACTACTTTAATTCCATGAGACCACCCATTCATCCATGCAATTTAGCAAGGTCGTACTGAAGCAGTATTACGACACTGTAGTTCAGTAAGAAACAGGAAGATTGCAATATTTGTTTTACGTATTGTGGAATTAGACACCACAGAATGCACAATTTTTTAAAAATCTATTTAAAAATTGAAATTTATTTTAACTTAGAAACAAACTGAACTCCTTAAATTTAAATGTTTTAATCAAAAATTATTCACGCAATGTTTATGTTGTGATTTTTTAATTTTATTTTTGAAATGAAACCATTGTACATTGTACAAACCATAGCTACTGATGGAATAAATAAGTGAAAAATTATACTGCTGTACAACACACACAAAAATCATAAGATGGAAAACGATTAGGTATTGGGAGAAAAAAAACAGAATTCTTTACATCTTCTAACAGACCCTTAGATATAAAGAACATTCCAAAACATGACAATGTTTATGTATGAAGATAGCCACCCAAAACCATATTTTATACTGCCTTGTTGATTTGTTGTTTTGTAAGTGCCAGCACTTTTTGGAATGTTTAACAACTACTTTCCCAAGCATAAAAATTCCAAGGAATAGTTCTGCTATAAAACGTTTGGCTGCGTAAATCGCTTATTTGGAAGGCCTTCTCATGTGTTCCACAACCTAAGCTAATTTACTTTTTTGCTTCTAGTTTCTTTTGTTTTTGTAACTGAAGCTCCAACATTCAGCATGTAGCAAGGAAGCACTTCTTGATATTTGCACTATTTCTAAAACGTTAGCTGTATGAGAACTTTCAGTTACCTCGAAGTAAATTACAACTCCCCTTCTGCTTCATGTCTCAATGGTTTCAATACACTCTTTTACAGTGAGTTCATAAAACAAATTTCTGGTAGAGATGGGTCCAAGCCAAAACATTGAATCTAGATGCGGTTCCAAACCTCAAGTAGATTTGGATCCTAGGTTCTGGTCTGGTCACATCTGTACTTTCTGGCATTAAAATGTGTTTAATCACATCCACTGGCCCATTAATGTTATCAGGCACTTCAAAGAAAGACTAATAACAGTCTTATACATTATTTTGGATTTCTTCATACCAGGTAATGTCAAGGTCTCACTTCTTAGAGAATGACACTAACAGGTTTAAGGAATCTGCTTTTTCAATTGTCTGTCACTAGAATCTGTGGTTAAAAGAAGTTCTGAATGTATTTTGTATAAGCTGTAAATAAAAAGTTACTATTTTAGAAATAAAGCCACTAGCAATAGCTGGTTTGTTTTCCAAGCCACAGTACAATGGACACAGTTCTGAGCAGAAGCCACAGGAGGAAAAGAAGGAATTTTATAGTTAAACCTGTTGGTGTCAGTAATGCCAATAAACATTTCTATCTAATGAAAAATTTGAGGTATTTTAGTGCTATTTATATTTTTCTTCCTAAAGTACAGGAATCAGCTTTGAAATCAAAAAGCTTATCTATCCCTTCGGAAACCTGTAGAAAAATCAAAATTAAAAACATTTTGGGACGCATCTGAAGATGGTGATCAGTAAACATGACTACTTGTCAAAGGTGGCATCAGATTCATGTAGTTTTAGCATTCAAAATTAAAATGCTAGTGAATCCGTGTTTTTAAAAGTCTGATTTTTTTTTAATTTGCCCATTTTATATATCAAATAGAATTTTTCTCACAAAATATCAATTAAATCTGAGTGTAATATACATACAAACTGATAGCCATTGACCAGTTATCAACATTTTTAAGCATACACACAATTCAAGAGAGAAATTACTATACCATTCCAATATGTTTATTGTGCAAATATAACTTTTGGCTCCTCGGTTCCTTATTTTCAGGAAGTTAATGGACTTCATGATCTGACCAGAGAACCCAAAAACTTATTAGGGAGCACACTGGTTTCATGAATGATTTGCAACCAAATTTTATTTAGTTGAGATCCAAAAAAGTTTATTTCAACATAAAAGGAAAAGTTCCCAATCTGAGCATAGCAAGTCACTTTGGAGTTTAATCCAACAGACATTTTACGGAAGGTCAGCATTGGCTCCTCACTCCTCTCCTACTCCCAATTGTTCTTCATAATTAAGGTGGTAATTGCAAATGCAATGTAGTAGTCAAAGCTCAAGCCATTTTCACCATTGGAGAATTCAGAAATAAGCAAGTTTACAAAGAGCTAATTATGAAAATGTGTGGACAGGAAGATTTATCATTTTAAAAAATATTTACAGATCTCAGATTACACACGCTGCACAATTTTTTGGAGATGTGGGATCTTGTTTTAAATTACAAGACCCATCTCCCTCTGAGAGCGAATGAAGATTAAGGCCCAATCCAGCAACATTTGAATAACACCTCATGTGAATATTCCTTAGTCACACAAGTAGTTACCATGGACATGACGTGGTTTTGAAGGGGCTTGGCACCTCCCTGGAAGTAATAAACCCATTGCAATATCAGGCCCTAAAAGGCCCGATCCATGTAGATACTCTGCACCTCTAAATGCCATTGACTTGAAGGGAGTTACACGTGCTCAGAGCCTCTCAAACAAGCCTAGCATAAGCATGCATCAACATAATTGAAAAGAAAGGATAATTTCTATCAGTAATGTAGAGATTATGGAAATAAGACTTATTTACAAAGACAAGCTGAAAGTTTAAAAAAATCCCAAATACAGTATAGCCTGGAATATATCAGTAAACATCTTATTTAAGAACAGTACAATGAAATCCAGTTCAGTGAAAACCTGATATCAGAATAAATCATATGCTGCACATCAATCCCTTTGATCCTATCTTTATAGTGGAACTTTTTAATAAAACAATTACTGTACCCAGTACAGAGATCTGGACCTATTACTTAATCTACTTTACTTCTATTAAATTTATTCAGATCTGGAATATAAATGGTAAATAAATCATATTAACTTCCGATGAAGTTAAGAATAGTTTAAAAGACCAGATTTACAGTTTGCGAATGCTGGGCATTCAATAAAAGGTCTCCACTGTAGTTGCAGAAAAATAAAATGATGCTTCTTTGTCTCCTTGGACTCCAAGTGTGAAAATGGCTTCCAGATCAATTTTATCTCTATTTGTTAAGTTTTAAGCACCAGGGATTTAAAATTAAAAAATTAAAAAACAGAAAACTTACTACATGGCATTATACAAACATAGGCCACTTTGCAAAGGAGACAGCTGCAAAACAACTTTAAAAATTAGCACTGTTTTCAGAACACAAGGCACAAAACAAAAGCAGACATCACGCCAGAACAATGAACTTCACATGAAAGCTAATACCTGACCTGTACCATCCTTAAATATCTTACATTGTTAAATAGAGAAATGGAAACAAACAAACAAACAAAAAAAACCAGCAGCAACATAATTGTAATTTTGACTTTAGAAACAGTGCGTAGACCCCTCCTGAGTTGTTTACTCCAACCATTTCAGAGACAGTAACTTAAAAGTTCTCAATGTTTGTTTCACAGGAAAAAGTTTTCAGTGTCTGAGAAGTTAAACCTTTGCTAGGTTTTCTTGGATTTTTGCTTGGTAACTTGAAAAGTTAGGAGTTCTGTCCTCATCCAAGAGAAGATGCTTAAGTAAAGTTGTTCTATGATTAAGCCCACTGATGTACCTTACATAAAAACTGATCAGGAAAATCTATAGTCTAAATCTCTTCAACATTTTGTTGGGAAGCCTCTACTTTCATCTTTTTAGAAGGTGGCACTCCTTCAGAGTCCTTAACAGGAAAGAGAGAAAATTCATGTTATCATTGGACTGAATCTTAGGTGCTGTAGACATCAGATTAAAATTAAAAAAGTGAATACTCTCATGTTACTTGGGGGATGTGAATGACATAACCAAATAAACACACTTCCTGAAATCATCTTTCTAAACATCACGTTGCTTGGTCTTCTTGTTACCTAGTCCATAGGGCAAAATCCTGATTCCAGGCAGCCACTGTATACACTCCAAAGCAACAGCAGTAACATGTGATCAATCTGTGACTTACCTCAGCTCCATACTCAGCCACAACAAAAAACAAAGACCCAGAAATTTCTCCTTCTAGTAGAAGCAGCAATTTCTGTAGGACAGGGTGTGTGAGGTTGGAAGTGGGCACGTGCACTCAGACGTAAAACCACCACCAAGTCTCAGAGAGGACCTGTAGTGCAGATTTAGGTGGGATAATTCCCAAGCCACAGCCCTTCTCCCAGCCATGGCTCTGCAGACATACACATACCTCAAACCAAAATCTGACCCACTGAGTTTATTAGCATTACATTTTTGCCAGCTCTATTAGCTGTTCTGCTTTATAAAGACAATATATTTATTTCCAAATGGAAATTAAAGGGATACATTTAGTTTACTAAGTAAATAAAAATATTCTTATTTGGATTGTAACATTTCCTTACATATCAGACATGGGCTGGTGCAGATGAGCCTGAAAGTGAAACTAATCAGTCTTCTCACTGTTAAAGGTGAATGAAATTGAAACAGAAGGCCAAATGAATGGTGAAAGCACATCAGATATTTAAAATTATTTAATAGTCTAGGGGGGAGGGATAGCTCAGTGGTTTGAGCATTTGCCCGCTAAACCCAGGGTTGTGAGCTCTCCAGAGTGGCCACCCCAAGCACCTGCTTGGCAAGCTGGTGCCTGGAGCCGGCCCTGACTAGATGACCTCCTGAGGTCCCTTCCAACCCTGATATTCTAGGATTCTATGATTCAAGGTGATCTTAGTAACACAGCTAAGGAAATAAATGTAAGCGTGGTTGGCCTCCTGACAGTTTTTCTTAAACTTTTTTTTTAAAGTTGATATTGAATTTGTAAAAGTAGCTTTTCTGTACTTAATTAAAATTACCTGAGAGTTTTTAGATGCCTCTGTAGTTATATCATTTTCTCCAGAGGATTGAATTTCTGCTTTCTCTGAACTATTCATGGAATTTTCCATTGAAGACTGTGAATTCTGTTCATCAGAAGTATCTGAAAGAGTAAAAACTTGTTTTAAACATGAAGAATCAACTTTCAATACAAGCTTTTACTCTTCATGCTCTCTGTATGTGTGTATATATATCTCCTCAATATATGTTTCACTGTATATGCATCCGAAGAAGTGGGCTGTAGTCCACGAAAGCTTAAGCTCTAATAAATTTGTTAGTCTCTAAGGTGCCACAAGTAGTCCTGTTCTTTTCTCTAATGCTAATGTACATATAATACCTTTCATTCAAAAATAACCAGTTGTGATTGCATTCACACGATAACACCTGAATTATCAGTGGAGACTGAACCCATAATATTCAGCACCCAAACCACAGGCTTCTGCCACTTGAGCTAAACTAAAGAATTCTCTTTATCTGTGTGTTAGTAGTAAGGTGTACAGTAGCTTGGACCAGCCACTAGAGGCAGTCATGATCCACAGTTGTATTGCACAAAGATTTCAAAGTACTTGGCACACATGAATAGTTTCAAAATAAGTAGATGAAGTATATAAATAATATGGAAATTATTACAACCAGTAGTGAAATGCAGCTACCTGTGGGATGGAGGGTTGGAGACAGGAAGTAAAAGAATAACTTATCCAACAAACTTGGGTGGGAGGCCATGGCGGCTAGATATGCAGAATTTAATTACCGAACTGGAATTTAACCCCCAGGACACTTAAAAACTATTCCTATAAAAAGTGGCACGTAATCATTCTAACACAGTATCTAGGAGTCTAGCTTCATCAATAAGGTTATATGTTTTTCAAGTCTATTGGATGTTTGTGGGAAATCTCCCCTAGATGTTCAGGTTTGCAATGGTTCCTACTTGGTTCAAACTTTCATTGCTGCTCACTCTAATAAGCAGCTTTTGAATAGATTCCCTTCTTCCACTCTCTATACCCATCACTTCTATATTCTAATTCATATTTTTTAAATTCTCAAATCCCCCAAGAAAAAGAAGGTAAGATTTAAAAGTTCTTTATTGGTTACTGAACACCTTCTGAAACTTTGCACATAAAGTTACCAAAAGGCAAGCCTTCTCCAGAAAATATTTTATTGAATGTGGTCTGAAGAGTGATATTTCTCAAAATGACTCAGTCATATGCAAGATGTTTGTTTTTGAGGTTTTGTGGGGGGTTCTCTCTAAATTGCCACAGAATTGTTTGTGTGGCTATAAGAAAACACGAAGTCTTCAGTACTTCCAGATTAAAAGCACTTCTGAGCAGGGGCTTTATTTCCTTTTGTACTACAGCACAACTTTCTGACACTGTTAAACTACAGTTCACTTCTCTCTACATTAGAAGACCTAACCATGTTTTAACCTTGTGTGCATCTGCACACAAGCAGGTTATTGTGGTATACACAGGTCCCTGACATGATTGATTTTACAGAGCAGATGGGACCTACATTTGGCCCATCTCGAATTCATGCATGTGAAGACTCGCTATAGTCTAAGTGCCTGATCCTGGTGATCTTTAGGTGAAAGGATCCGTGTCCCAATACTAGGGCCCTACCAAATTCACGGTCCATTTTCATTAATTTCACGGTCACGGGATTTTAAAAATCATAAATTTCATGATTTCAGATATTTAAATCTGAAATTTCACAGTATTGTAACTATAGGGCTCCTGACCCAAAAAGGGATTGGGAGGTCGCAGCATTGCCCTCCTTACTTCTGTGCTCCTGCTTGCGGCAGCACTGCCTTCAGAGCTTGGCTCCCAGTCAGCAGCTGCCGCTCTTCAACCACCCACTCAAAAGGCAGCACTGCTGCCAGCAACAGCGCAGAAATAAGGATAGCATGGTATGGCCACTCTTAGTTCTGTGCTGCTGCCTTCAGAGCTGGGCCCCTGGCCAGCAGCCGCCGCTCTCTGGCCAACCAACTCTGAAGGCAGCACAGAAGTAAGGGTGGCAATACTGCGACCCCCCTGCAACCTCTTTTTGGGTTAGGACCCCCAGTTTGAGAAACGTTAACCTCCCCCGTGAAATCTGTATAGTATAGGATATAATTACATAAAAGACCAGATTTCACAGTCCGTGATGCATTTTTCATGCCCGTGAATTTGGTAGGGCCCTACCTATTACCTGTCCTCAGAGTCATTCAGACCTGCCAATAATTAGTTTACATAGGAAAGCGTTCTAAAATATTTGTTCATTATACATATGTTGATTTTAAGCACTTAGGGCCAATTCTTCCCCTAAGCTTCCCCAATGACTTCAAAATAGTCACAAAAGATGTACAGCGGAATTTGGGTCCTTAATTTGTTACCTGCTATTTAAATTCAAGCTTCGCAGTGTCACAATCAAAGCTATTTGATCAAACAGCATCATTCTCCAATCAATGATGGGTTATTTGGATTTAGAATCCCTAATTAAACACAGTATCCAACCAGCAAAAAGGCCAGATTAGTATGTATTTTACCCTAGCTTCTCCCTCTCATTTCACAGCAATAGCCCTGGAATCAACACAAGGAAAGATTTTCCTTGAACCTAAATTTAGTCATGGGAGCATGTACATTATGTAATCGGCTGAATTCACCCATGAACAAGTTAAAGGCAAGTTTACCATCTGGCAGTAAATCCATACAGTTCTCAGTGAGCAGTCAGTTGAGAATACTATTTTATAAAATTTGGCTTTCCTGTGTCTACTTTGGTAGTGATTTGGCTGCCAAATTGCCCTGCATCTAACAGTTACATTCTAGTCATTGAAGGTATTTAGCATGATGTACGTGGTTCTAATATTACTGAGATAACTGATCTAAATTTAAATTGGATATTGGATCTACTGAATTAAGAACTGAATCAATAGGAAAAGATTTGCGAAGGACAATTTAAATGCTTTGTTATGGCAGGAATTTTGCAACCAGATTATTAGAATTCTGTTAAGAGTATATTTTATCTATTATAATAGGGAGGAGAAAATAGTTTCTTTCAAAACATCACAACGTAAGATTTTGCATAAATACACAGCAAATGTTTCAGTTACTAAAATTTTACAGGGCACCAAAGAAATATAGCATTAACAAAGTAAGATTTAAAACATTTTCACCAACATCATGTTTGGCTGTTTTTCTGCACAGCAAATAAAATACATTATGTACTTTTTAGAAATCTGGGCATACAAATTCAGAGTTAGCTTTAAAAGAAATGTAGCAAAGCAAATTAAAAAAAGTAAAGTTAAAATAAAAATGTACACATAAAAGTTACAAAATATCAATATTTGTTAGTTCCATTTTCGTTTAGAACCCAATCATGTTAGGTGAAGCGCATCCTCAACTCCACTGGCTGAGCACCTGGCAGGATCAAGGCTTTGATAAATGTCTAAACAGTGACCTACAAAGGATTTTTTAAGATTGGGGTTTATGCCTATTTTTTTGCTTCATGGTATGGACTAAACCAGCCTAAAAGGTTTATCTATTTTAAGGTTTCCCCCCTCCTCTGTTCGTTTTTTACCTTAAGAATATCTGGAATGTCAAGTCTGACCTTCCCTGCTTTCACTGGCGCATCAATGAGCAATATAAGGGAGTTATTGTGAGTTCTCAAGAAAGCCCAAGGATGCTGAATACTGAAGCAACTTCCTCCTTTAAAATGTTAATTTTCAGTTAACTGAAAATCCCTGACATTAGATAAGTTTTACATAATAAAAGTTTTAAAGTCAATAAAAATCTCTTCCCCTCTCAGATGATCAATTTTCACCTGTTTAGCTCTCGCGATGTAACCATTTCACTAGTTCGCAGTCAGTCCTTCAACCTAGGCAGGACCTGAATTTCTAAGGTATAAAACCAAGCAGAAAAATATTTTTCATTCTATTTGGAGCCGCGAAACATCCAGGTGCAGTAAAGATTTCAGACCTGGGCCAGCTACCACTGAAGTCAGTGGAACTCTCATGGAAGAAATTAATGTTGTAATTGAGTTTAAACCTGTTCTTGTTCCCTGTGAAGTCAATAGGAGTTTTAAGTACATAAATAAAATACTTACATACCAAGGTCTTCGCTCTTATTTACACAGCAATGAAGTTTAGAAGACTTAAGCCAACTAGATATGATTATGAAGAAGTTAAATAGCTAATAACATGTGGACTCTGGCAACTCATCATTTTTGATTTGTGAGTTATTTTGTGAGCTGTATTTGTTGTTTCGGAAGAATGTATGGTTGTGTTTTGTATCACATGCCAGTCACTCTGTTCCACTTTTATTATTTGAGCTTCTTTCTTATCAAGAATGTTGAACTCAAGTATTTGTTTGAACTAGTGCTTCCTATTAGAAAAGCTGCAGGCACAAGATATATCTATATGTATTACCTTCTGAACCAGGTTGTTCCTTTGCGTCTGCTTGAGTTTCATCAGACTTTACTTCAGTGCCATCTGCTTGTGTTGCTGAGTTCTGCTCAGGTGCTGGACTTGAGTTGCTACTGTTCTCCTGTTTTATTGGAGAAGCGTCAGCTATTGAACTCTGGTTGCTATTGTCATCTGGAAAAAAATTCTACCTTGATTAAAAGTGAATGAAACAGGACATTTTGTCTCTTCTTGAAGTTATATATTTTTATGCATCATTGCATAGTTAATATTGGATGTGATCCTGCATGGCTTGCCATCCCAGTGACTTCAGTGGGAATTTTGGGTGAGCTGAGGACTGTTCAGGTTCACAGATAAGTAGGACTCTTTACACTTAAGTCCCCTTCACTCAACGGACATTCTCTGATGCCCGATTTTGTACACAGTGCTGCTTAACTATAGTGTATATTTCTTCAGATATGGTGACCGAGGGCTCTAAATAATAGCAGCACAAAATTCTTGGATTTATATACAACTCTTATCAGATGCCAGAATTCTATATTTTATCAGTTCATTCATCAAGAGCATCAGTACCCAACTAGACTATTAATATTACCCTGCAGATTTATATCTAAGAATACTTACCCTTTATGCTCCTCCCTATACTCAAAAGAACAGGTCGGCCTTCCAGAGCATCCTGAAGGTCTACAAACCTGGGCCACGTCAAGTCAAAGGGAGAAGCAAATCCTAATATCAAGAGCCCCTCAGTGGGAATGCCCTGCCTGCACCCAGTTCCTGGGGAAACCAGGGGCTACCTGCTTGAGTGCCTCATCTAATATCATCTGTAGGGGTATCGTGCAAGGAAAGAAGCACTCCCAAACCACTTTATAGATACAAACCAACAGCTGAATTGCAACCAGAAACTGAGAGCCAACCAGTACAGATCTTGGAGCACAGCTGTAACATAATCCCCATAAATCAACCTGCTCATCAAGCACACAGTATCCCTCTGTAACAGGTAAAGTTTTCCTGGGGCCTTCTGGTTATTCCCATAGATAACACTTATTTTTATTATTTGTTTTGATGTGGGGTCTAAAGGCCCAAACTGAGATCAGGTCCCAACTCAGATAGTTACCACACAAAATCAGGGACAGTCCCTGTCTCAAAGAGCTTACAATCTAAATAGACAAGATGGACAAAAGGCAAGGAAAAAGTATTATCCCCATTTTACAAATGGGGAAAGGAGAGACAGATTAAATGACTTGTCCAAGACAAAGTCACACTAGAAGTCTGTGTAGATGGGGGACAAAGGTGCAAATTACTGAAGCTAAAATTCTGCATCTTCAAAAGGTCAAACCTTTCTACTCAAACACCGATGGGGAAGTGGCTTTGGCCATTGCTGCTACCTAGACATCCATAAATTAAGGAATTTCAACATGGCTGAGCTATACAGATGCCGTTTTGATAGAAACCATGGTAACACTCAACAAAGCACCTTGCTTCTGTTAATCTGTCAGCATTTAGTCTGGGAACTGAAAATTTCGTTTTCTGGTTTGGTTAATTTTATCAAGGAGAAGTCTTCCCAGTGGCAAATACTACAGGAGAGTAGTGTTTTTTTTTCTTGGTACTGAAAGAATAATTTTGCCCCAATTCTTAACTAGCAATGGTGTAAATCAGGAGTAACTCCATTAAAGTCAATAGGGTTAAACAAGTGTAAACCTGGCACAAGTGAGAGGAGAAGCAAGCGATCTGAAAATAAAGATTCTCCATTTCTCATAACATTAGCCCAATGTGCTTATTTCATCATACCAATTATAACACAAAGGAACTTTCATTTTCCAGGAGGATTTTTAGCAAAAGTTCTCATGAATTTAAAATCTTGCTGAAGATTCAATTACTTGTCAAGAAAGTCTCCTGTGTTATTTTTGTCTGTCACAACTCAAAATTAGGAATTCTGTTTTACATGTTATTGTACACAACATTCAAGCTATCCAATAGCCCAGTCTCATAGCCACTTTGTTAATGCTTTGCATTTCTTAGCCTTCTGTAGGGAAACGTTCTTCCTACAGATCCAACCTTGAGTTTATGAAAAGTTGGCACATGTCAGTATAAGATATGGCATCCTTCCACCTCCCTTCCAAGGGACCAATGCTTGCCTTAAGACATAAAGGAGACAATCTTTATCATCATATACTTTCACTGTTTCTTTGCTTTCACCCCTAGGAATGTACCTGTTGGACAATCAAAGGAGTTGCTCCATTCCTATGGACGCCATATCATAATTCAACATATATATTTTATACCAATAACATTTTATCAAAGTATTAATTAAATGTTAACTTGCTAACTTGAGACCATGGGTGGAGACATAATGTAACCTGTTAACCATTGGCTAATGTGCTATCTTGTCTTGCTGCAAAACCTATCCCGGGGTGTGGAACTGCCTACCCCGTCACTTTCCCCCGCCCATGGAAAATCTATATATTCTATTGTAATCAACTGATTGACAGTGTCTCTGAGACTAATAAGCAAGATAACACTCCACCAGCACTGTGTGTAAAACTCCTATGCTTGACCTCTACACGGTGTGGATTTATGTCCTTCACCTTCCATCCAAAACTCTCCAAAATGCCTTAAAATCCTAAATTAGGCATCACAGCACTCCTCCCGACAATTGATTACAATACCCATACAGTACAGACAATCATAGCTAAAGTTGCAGAAGAGATTCCATTGTAGCTCTCTGCTTTCATATTCTGATGACTTCCTGAAATATTTACTTTGGGGATGAAGTTGTGTGTTCAGTCTCTCCCCACAATTTTTAAGCAAAATTCTTTCAGCTCCTTTGGAGTTTGGGGAAGGGCAAACAGGTGTGTATATAAATGAGCATGTTTCTTCCCTACATAGGTTATTAAAAATTACTAACATTTCACACTATCTATTAAGACATACTTCAATAGACAGTCTCTGCTTTGCTAAATTTGAAAAAGCGGTTTAAAGATAAATTTTATCATATTTTAAATGCGAAACAGGGTATTTTATTAAGCAGTTACCTGTGCACTTCAAGGACAGACACACTGTGAAGACATATGCAGCTAGTATGAGTAAGCAAATACATACAGAAGAACTCACTAGCTTTCCACTGCCAAAGCAAGCCATGTCTGTATGCTGCACAAGGCTACTACTTCACTTAGATAAGTGAAACAGCACCTGGGAAACTGGGTTTATTTTTGTTTTGTCCTTTTCATGTTTTATTTCAGTGTCTTAGCTTCCCTCACAGCTGACATAGGGATTTTCTTTTACATGCAGCCAGACTGAAAACTGCATTTACCACCATCAACGTTAATGACTTATACCACACACTGATCTAGTGCCATGCGTTTCTATTTTTTTTATTCTCACTTGGGCAAATTCTGCCCGTACACACCAGCAACTCCTGTTGATTCCAATAGGAATCTTGTCCATTGGTTATTTCCTTTATAACAGTGCACGGAGTAGCCTGGGCTCGCCATGTCCCACTCACCATGCATGTCCATCATCCCTGGAGAAGAGCTATTCTCTGGAGTGGTCACTTCAGAGCCACATTTTTCATCTTTGCCTTTTTTCTTATTTTTGTTTTTCTGAAAAACAAAAACACCCCCCAAAAATTAAAGTCACCAAATAGTTAGCCAGGAAACCAACATCCATGTGTTAGTGTAAAACTCTCTCTTTCAGCTCAGTGCATTAGTCCTGTAAGCATATTATGCTTATAATTTTCATATGGGAAATAAGGCCAAGTCAAGAATTACCAAGAACACTGATGAGGCAGTCATCATAAGAATCTCTGAGAAACACTTATACAGTTTATTCTTTATGACCCACCGAAGGAAAAAAAAGAGCAACTATTATCAGAAGTTCTGCTAATGTTTAGTGTTTATAAACATTATTATTATTTGTATATTGTAGTGTCTAGGAGCCCTACTCACAGATCAGGAGACCTTTGCTTTTCATCTTCAAAACCACTGCACAACATTACATCACCCTTGTGAGGTAGCTCATTATTATCCCCCCATTTTGCAGCTGGAGAAATTGAGGCAGAATGCTCCAGTGAGTTATCCAAGGTAAAATGAAGCAGCTGCATAAGAATCAGGATTAGAACTGGGGAGTTGCTGGTTGCCAGTGGGCAGAACAAAATACCACACCTCTCTCTTTATAACAGAAATTTTACCATAGCTTACCGCAGTGCTATAACCAATAGCACAGGCCCTAGCAGTTTTGCACCTTTCCCAAGTGCAGTCATACTACTTTGTTGCTGAAAGCCCACCTGTACGTTACGCTTGGGGGCAGCTCTCTTTAGAGAGAGGAGTAGAAATTTACTAAAGAGAAGTATTTGAACACGTACTTTGTTCCTCCTGGATGTTCGCCAGAGCTCTGCTGGCCTTCAGAACACAATGAAAAACTCATTTTATTTTCGGCCTAGCATCTGTTTTGCCTAGGGCTAAGACTGTGGATGACTCCTCCCCCACAGCTGGTGTATCGGGAGACTTGAAGGTATATAATACTCCAATAGGTATATAGTTTAATTTATTAGGCACCATTAAGGTGTTTTTGGGGTATTTTTATTGCTGTTTTTCCCCATTCCCAAGAGCTACAAAGGCAACTGGAAAAGGAAAGACAATATCAAGAGAATTCCTGCGAAGCCCTAGAAGCCAAAAGTGGAGGCAACGTCATTAGATAAGGGCTGGGATTTGGGAATTCTTTACATGATTTCTGATTCTGCCACTTTGGAGCCTTGAGTAAATCAATTCCCTGCTTTGTACCTCAGTATCCTATTCTGGAAAATAGGGATAACAGTGATCTACCTCACAGTGAAGCGACAAACATTACTGGTAAAGCACCTTGAGATTGCTAGATGAAAGACTGGCAGGCTGCAAGTGCCAAGTATTTTAAAGAGTATGAAGTGGTTCTGGAGAGAGAATGGAGTAGGGGTAATTATCTCCTGGGAGGGCTATATTATGAAGCAACAGCCTGCTCCAGGTTATCATCTAGTCACCTAGGACACAGCATCTTCACTTTTTGCATGCATTTTTGAATGTGTGCATGATGGTAATGGTGGGGGACTGAGAATTTTCACATGGAAAGGATGGCTGTTTCCTGCCTGCCTCCCTCCCTCCCACTGACCCAGGCTGCTGAGACTTTTCCCTTCTCCATATACAATGTAGTTTCTGCATTAAATCCAAAAGGCGGAGCAGGAAGGATTATGAGAGAAAGAGAAATCCCAGCAGCAGCAAGACAGTCCTGCATGCACACACCCCTGCTCCATGTCCTGTGTAATAGCAGGAGCTGCAAGAGTTAAAGCAACAAAAGAGATGTTTGCATCCATATGAAAATCCAGGTCTAGAAAGGGATGCAGCATTTTCAATTAGGAGATGATGTAATTGGTCTCCTAGGAGAAAGTGCCAGCTGCGCTGCTCTTGGAATACCCAGTTCCTGCTGAGAGAAAGGAGAATGAAAAGCCAGTTTTCAGGGAGGGAGAAGCTCAGTAACCAACCCATTATGATCAGGCAACACTCTCCAATGAGGGACAGAAACAAGAAGACAATCAAGTATGGTCCAAGGCTGCAGAAGAATTTCAACAAGACAGACACTGGGGCACTTTTCTCTATCCTTGGAACAAGGTTTCCCCCCCCCCCTATTAAAATATACATCATAAATACAAACACTTACATATACATATTTCAGAAAGTTATTGACAAATCTAACAGCTCTGGATCAAGGAGGCCACACTTCCCAGAAACACTATATTTCTTTTCAGAGGGAGCAAAAGGGTAGCAGCTGAGTGAACAGCTCCTAAACCATCCCACCAAAACAGCTCATTGATGGGGGAGACACTAACCATGCCCCCTGAAATGGCATACAACTTCCTTTGGGGCCATGGAGCATTGCAGGACACATTAGTAAGACCCCATCCTACCATTCTAATGAGCACTAGGAGGGTATCTTAATCTGCTTCTGTGCATGTAGGCCAAGGGCAGGTGGAGAATAATCCTTGTGCCCAAATTAAAAGACCAGATTTTGCCCTCCTTCCTTTAGGTTCTCTCAAAATGTATAGCTCTTTTCTGTTCAGGGATCTCATGTGCCACAAGGAAGAGACCCTTTCATCTTAAACAAGGCTGCAACAGCATGTGAATGTTAGAATGACCTAGTTTCAAAGGGCCTCTGTCAATTAGTTTTAGACTCAAAATCAAGGGTTATTTGCCCAATATGCCAAATTATGGTCCAAATATTCTAACTGGTTACATGTGAAAGGACTCTCAGACAAATACAGAGCCTCACTGACTGTAATGAGGATCCGCCTATGCGGAGACGATATGCTCACACAGAATATGTCTATGAATTCAGTTCTAATGTACTATGAAGGACATTTTTAAAAAAATGTCAGAAGTATTCTGCCGGATGCAGGCTTAGATGCAGGAAAGTTTGCCTGGAAAAACCCTAGAAACTGTAACCCCCACATCTCAAATATATTTAACAAAGCATACATTATAACAGCAATCATTTTCTCTGTATAACAAGTAATCCAATTAGTGCCAACACTTATCAAAGAGATAAAAAGTTTCTATGCAGAACACTTCTGTGAAAAAAATAGGCATCCTAACTGATGAGAGCTTATTTCACACACAAGCTGTTCAGCTTTGAAGAAACTTTTAAATACAAGAGACTCTCTGGAAATCTTTGCAGCATGTCAGCTAGTGAAGTCTTTAGCACAACTTTTTTTTATTGTGATTACATTTACATAGACGTTCAAGACAGGCATGTTAATTTAAATATCTCAACCATTCAACAGCTGAGGGAAGGTGTTGTGCAAGTCCATGAGGGAACCATGTAGCTCCAGCAATGGATGCAGCTTCCAAGTATATCATCTACATCTTCTAACTGGCCACAGTAGCAAAGCGGAAAGTCACAAAGGCCTCACTTACAGACATTTGCAGCACACTTGATCCCTCTACATCTGAAGCAATTAAGCTTTGCCACAGATAGCTTGGAAGGTCAAAATCAGGGGCTGGACTGTTGCATAGGCATTGGCTCTGTTTGTAGCTTCTTCTTGCCATCTAGTGGTGACAGAGGTTCTTTAAAGCAGTGGTTCTCAAAGCCGGTCTGCCACTTGTTCAGGGAAGCACCTGGTGGGCCGGACCGGTTTGTTAACCTGCCGCGTCCGCAGGTTCAGCCGATCGCGGCTCCCGCTGGCCACGGTTCGCCGCTCCAGGCCAATGGGGGCTGCAGGAAGTGGCGCGGGCCGGGGAATGTGCTGGCCGCCCTTCCCGCAGCCCCCATTGGCCTGGAGCGGCGAACCACGGCCAGTGGGAGCTGCGATCAGCCGAACCTGAGGACGCGACAGGTAAACAAACCGGCCCGGCCCACCAGGGGCTTTCCCTGAACAAGCAGCGGACTGGCTTTGAGAACCACTGCTTTAAAACAGCGGCCCAATTAGCACACAGCTGCGGCCCAGCTGTGTGCTAAAGACCACCAGGTCACAGGGTCCAGGTTCCCAGCTGCTTGGCCACCCAGTGCGGCAGGGACTGGCCTCATGTTGCGGGGGTCTGGGGCTGCCAGCCAGCCCTGCAGAGGGTCTAGAATCCAGGGGCTGCCATGCAGGGTCCAGGGGCTGCCATCCGGGGTCGACGTCAGGGCTGCCAGCTGCCACATGGGGTCAGAGTCTGGGCTGCCGCCCGGCTGCCCTGCCACACAGCTGGGTCCAAGGTCGGGGCTGCTGCCCGGTCCTGTACAGCAAGGTCCAGGGTCCCTGCTGCCCACCGGCCATCCAGCCCCCGTCCAGGGCTCCACTCTGTGGAGGGATCTCTGGGTGGGAGGCGCTGGGCACAGTGCTCTGGGGATGGCAGGCTGTGGTTCTCAACCTGTGGCCCATTATAATAAATAGGCTGAGAACCACTGCTTTAAAGGAACTGTCCAAACAGGGTGCCTTGAACTGAAAATGGCAGATTGGTGGATTGGAGACTTCTTTAAACGGGGTAGATGTGGCATGTCTTGCACCTTAAGGAGCAGATTCTGCAAGATGACTGAAGTCACGTAAAGAAACAGGTTCAGTTTAACATAACCTCAATCAGAAGACAGAGCGAGGCCTGGAAATTGGGTTTTGAGTAGTGTGAATCCAGGCTTCAGTCTTTTTTAAGAGCCACTATTTTGGACATTTTACTAGACCGGTGGTTTTCAACCTTTTTTCATTTGCAAAATTTCAAATTGAGATGTGGACCCTTTTGAAAATTTTAGGCAGTGTGCGGACTCTTGGGGATCCGCAGACCACGTTGAAAACTACTGGTAACAACCACTTTTCGCGGACCCCTTAGACTTAGTCTGTGGTCCCCCAGGGGTCTCTGCAGACCACAGGTTTAAAACCACTATACTAAACTATTAGTTCCATCAAACTGCAACTTATTTCACACCTCTGCTATAGATTTAAAACAGTGGCAACATGGTCCAGTGGATAGGTTACCAGACTGGGGTTCAGAAGACCCAAGTTATATTTCCCTGCTCTGTTACTGACTTAGTGTGAGACCTTGGGTAAATCACAATTTCTCTCTGCACAAATTTATCCACCTGTAAAATGGGAGTAATAATGCATACTTACCTTTGTAAAGAACTTTGAGATCTACGGATGAAAAGATAAGTGCTATTAATTTTTATTTTCATTATAAATGCTGTTTTATGCCATGTGTCTATCATAGCAAAAAAACAGAGTGAATTCACAGTGCACTGCACAGTAAGATCATCAATATGCTGCTTGTGCAATGCTTATTTATCAGGAGAAAATAGTCATTACAATAGCAGACAACATTCTATACTGCTTGGCTTGAGCATCTTAACCAATACAATAATACCTCACATTTCCATGGCACTTTTATACCAAAGAATTCTAAAACACTTTATAAACTACACACACACACAGAGGAATCTCTTCATAAGCCACTGAAATAAAGGTGTCTCTATTGTGAGATGTGGCAACTGTTTAACGATGCACAGCAAGAATACAGTATACATACTGTGCACAGTTAGCTGTACAAGTTACTTTCCTCTGATGGTCGTATGGATCTTTCAAAAAGAAAAAGGTGAGATAAAATCTTTTTTTTTTTTGCAATTAGGAAAATATGATTACATTGGAAAGTGGGGATGCAGAATCTATAACTAACTATTTTAAAAAACTGACTCGCTTTCAAATTAACAGTATCTCTTTAAAAGTCACATATTAGAATGAGACTTGGGGGGAAAAGTGCTACCCTACTGAATCACCAACAATACTTTCTGCAGCAACCTCAGTTTCCCTTGGAAGTCTTCTATTTAAGTACTAAGACCCAACCCAATATTAACTTTGAGATCTGAGGACAGACAATACGTCCCCTTACAACCTTAACTAAATACTGTTCTGCAGTTCCAAAACTTCTAAGCTATCTATCTGTAGGGCGTCCAGAAATACTTACATCATCAACTTTGGGCTCTGTTACTGGTACCCATTTGTAAATTCTGAGGGATGTGTCGCCAACTGTCACCCATTTCTTCTCCCTATAAAATTACAATGCAGGAGAAGTTAACATTAAAAACTTCATATTCACAAAATGACCTACTATGTTGTCAAGGATTTAAATGGGCTATCATACAGTTAAGATGATCTCTGTTATACCATCTTTAATACTGTAAGTATGTATATATAATTACCTGCATTTAAAAAACAACCAATTATAGCCTGCAAACAACTTCACAATTCTAAGAGCAGTTACTGGCTTAGCTGAGTGACTGCAGTAGCAGTAACGAGACCTGGGTTAGAGAGATGGTTAAGCAGAATTCTAGCCAACCAAAAACACAACTACAATGGTTTCAATTTTATTTAACTTTGTATAAAGCAGTTTTCAGACACATGGTATTTTGGTTGCTGTACAGTTAAATTTAGTGATACTGGAAATCTAAATGCTGTCTGACCATTTAAATTTTATTTTTGGAGAGAAACTTTCTGGTAGCAATTTTACTGTTCACTCAACACCTATGTCAAATAGCTTTGAAATTAAGGCTGGCCTATTGGTAGCGATATGTGCTGCCATGCAGAAGGCTAGAATCTGATTCTTGGACCCTGGCTCCCTGGACCAGCTGGGGTTCGGAATACTATGGAAGAGAGAGAGCATAGCCTACAGCACTCTATGAAGACCCCTGCCAGCCAGCCAACCATGAAGTGACACTGAGGAGTTGCACAGGGAATCTGTCCGGAGGGTGCCACTGCAACATGGGGCTATGAAGACATACAGAGTGGGGAGATGACACAGATGCTGAGAACAACAGAGATTGGGAGACTGACTCCCTGAGAACAATCATTTCACAAGAACATTAAAGGAAGGTCCACAATGCAAGAAAAATTTCATCTAGTCTCTGGTAATCAGTTTTCAAGTCACAGATCATCACTGCTGGTTAGCGGATTCAAAATAAAATTCTGCAAACAGATTGATTAAAAACCTAGCAAAAACACACTAATGTCATTGATTATTGAGGAACAACTAAAATTAATTTGGTATGATTTCAAAACGTTTATGGATTTTGGGTGTGGGTTTTTTTTTGGTTTTTGCTTTTAAAAAAACCCACAACATTACAGCTGGATTCCAAATCTATTATTTAATACATTGTAAAACACACGTTCTTGGCAGGATGGGAAAAAGCTTTGTCACTCCTGTGCGTTTGTGATAACATCTCCTCCAAGGTTTGCAGAATCAGCAGCAGTCACATTCTAGAAGTGCCACCGCCACCCTCCCTCCCATCTTTTCCCTTTTTGGCTACTGACAATGTCAACCTCGTTCTTCATCTGCCTGAAGGGATCCTCTTTCCTGCTTAGAAAAGGAACTATTTATGGCACTTTGGTAACAAATTTTGGCTTTGTCTACACTGACATTTGTTTGAAATTTGTATTTAAAAACAGCATTTAAACTCCAATTCAGATTAAATAGTTTCCCGCTTCAGTTCTTAGATCACAATTTTGTAAATGTAGCTTAGCGCCACCCATTCATTCATACCAAATGGCCAAAGCATGTCAGAAACCAATTTAACTGGAACTGAGTTTGAATTCTGTTCCTAAACATGATAAAAATGACAGTGGAGAAAAGAGCATGCAAATGCTAAGGAGAACAAACCTGTAAAGAGATTCTCATGATACACGGTTTGTTTGTTTTAAGGATATAAGACAATCTAAACTCATCTCTAGTTAAGAAAGCCTTTGAAGTTATGGAAACAAGAATGGATTTTAGTATCAAGGCTTTTTTAGTCTTCTCCTACATCAAAATATTACTTAGAGATGCTGCACTGGAAAACCAAAAGTTCAAGGTACCTGGTTAGCATCTCAAAGCAGCCTCAAAGCAGCATCTTCACTGGACAGACTGTAGAACACAGGAGGAAACCTATATTAGTAACTTTTTCCTTCTAGTGTAAAAATTAGCCCCGACATTTCAATTCTATTAAGCTTCCTAAGCAGTATTTTTAACCTTTGATAACCTCCAACCGAAAGGATTTTTTCTGATTTAAATGAACAGTAATGAACAGAAACACCACAACACGAATAATAATTTTTGATGGAAGTACACCAAAGCCCCAATTCTGCAAACACTTATGCATATGAGCAATAACACTGAACTTAATGGGACTACTCACTCATGTACTTCACTTTACAAATGTGATTGCAATACTGGAACTTTAGAGAGCACGAGTACTAATAAGAATGAAGACAAGCTTCTTTTTAACAAACTCTTAGTTAAGCTGCCAATGTAAACTTTGTAACAAGTAAAGAAATTTAACTGGTTTCAAACATTAACAGATACCTTTTAAAATCTAGAGAATGGGCAAGAGCGTTCAGCTTCATAATTTATAAGTAAGTACAGATGAATGCATAAACTACAAGTACTTCCTACAATGTTTTTATCCACAATATTTATCATATTCCCATTTCAAAAACTCCAAATTGTATTCTGATGTCCTCAATGTTATTTACTGTACAAAGAAAATCACTCTGATCTGCTAATTAAAGCATTTCTTTTAATTAGATAGAATTAACATAAGATACTCATTTGTGTTTCCAACAGCACCCGCAATGTGCTAGATGCTGTATGAATTATGAACTGTAGCATGGTCTAGAACAGAGGTGGGCACACTATGGCCCACAGGCGACATCCGGCCCGCGGGACCATCCTGCCCGGCCCCTGAGCTCCCTGGCGGGAAGGCTAGCCCCCAGCCCCTCCCCTGCTGTTCCCCCTTCCCCTGCAGCCTCAGATTGCCACCTGGCCGGGCAGCACAGCGAGTTCCTGCTGCTCTGAGTGGCATGGTAAGGGAGCGGGGGGGAGGGGTTGGATAAGGGGCAGGGGATTCCAGGGGACAGAGGATTGGGAGGGGGACAGGGACCGGGGGGGTTGGATAAGCGTGAGAGTCCTGGGGGGCCTGTCAGGGGTGTGGATAGGGATCGGGGCAGTCAGGGGACAGGGAGCAGGGGGGACTGGATAGGGGGTGGGGTCCTGGAGGGGCAGTTAGGGACAGGGGGCCCCGGGAGAGGGCAGTCAGGAGACAAGGAGCGGGGTGGGGGGGTTGGATGAGTCGGGAGGTCTGAGGGGGGGCAGGAAGTGGGAGGGGACAAATAGGGGGGCAAGGGCCAGGCTGTTTGGGGAGGCACAGCCTTCCCTAGCTGGCCCTACATACAGTTTTGCAACTTTGATGTGGCCCTCGGGCCAAAAAGTTTGCTCACCTCTGGTCTAGTAGTTGACTACGCATGGGACTAGAAGCAAGGAACTCCTGAGTTGTATCTGCTCTGATTTGACACCTGGGGCAAGTCAATTCTCTCTGTCTCAGTTTCCCCATACTCACCTTGAAAGTTAGTTTAGTTTAAAAAAAAAAAAAAAAACTAACTTCCAATTGCCCCCAACCATCCTTGCCAATTTTTCTGGTTTTACAATCGGATAGTGAAAGGGCATCACATTTTGGTCTAAATTATTTTAATTTGTTTTAGGTTGATAATGATCCTTAAAGGTTTGCACAAAATTTGAAGACAGCAACAGATATGTAAGTATTTAGAATTTAATGCTTATCTCAGGCTATGTCTACACTACCACTTATGTCGGCAAAACTTACGTCGCTCAGGGGTGTGAATATTCTATGCCCCGGAGCGAAGTAAGCTGCCCCGGCATAAGCAGTAGAGTGCACAGCGCTACGTCAGCGGGAGAGCTTCTCCCACCAACATAGCTACCGCCACTCATTGGGGGAGTGGTTTAATTATTCCGACAGGAGCTCCCTCCTCTCAGCACAAAGTGGCTACACAAGAGATCTTACAGCAGCCCAGCTGCATCGGAACAGCTGTGCCACTGTAAGCTCTCTAGTGTAGGACATAGCCTTAGACACACCAGTACCCTAGAACTTAAGTTACATAATCACTCAAGGTCTAATTTTAAATAGCCAAGACTTCCTATGCAAAAATTATATACATAAACCCCAAGGCCCTCAAAGAAAACCAAGCGTCAAATTGCATGTATAAATGCAACACGTTAGTGGATGAAACAGAACACCATGCATTACATTTATACATGAAATGTCAAGAGGCCTTTTATATTAGCATTGAACATCAGAAACAAAAATTGTTTAACAGAACAAGAACTGAAAGCCTTTGCTGCAGATACAGCATTGCCATTTAAGCAGAGAGGCTTTCAAATAGAACAGACTTGAAGAAATCCACTACTTGTTACAGTTTCTTACCATGTCTGCTATTTACTAAAACAATGTGTGTTTAAACAAGGATAGCTCCCGCATACCCCATCTTCTCTTGATGGTCATGAAATGTCATAATGCTGAATTTATCACATCACACTCACTTGCATTGCAACAGAGTTTGGTGAAAATCGCAGAATTATGACTTCCCTGTGGGATCAAGCAGAAGGAGAAAGGGGGGAATGGGAAAGAAAATGCCATTATTAGACACACAAAGTATCTCTCGAATGCACAAAACTGAAAAAAATGAAAATATTTTTTCAACTTTAGGCTCTCTCTTCAGAGCTGGGGATGTGACTTTGTAGATGTCGGTATAGTGACTAGCAGAAAGGTCTCTCGACCCTATTGTCATATAAAGAAATAATAATCACAAAAATAGCATCAGAGTAATTGGAAAAAAAATACTGACCAAGGACAGGTCCTTTGGTTCAAAATGTTCTTCATCCAACTGTGTTTCCGTACGAAAGCTGCCATTTAACTTGTATACCTAAGGATCCATTTTTATGCAGAGTCTACTAGTTCCCCAAGTTGCAGAGATGGCTCTTGTTGACTGCACTAATCTGAAGGGTATGTTTAGAATGCGCCAAATTCTAATGCAACTCCCATCGAAGTCAGTGGTACATGAATATCAGAGAGTAGAATCTGACTCAAAATCGAATATGCAATGAGCCACAAAACACAACCTAATTCAGCCACATGAAAGGGGCTCTATGAATCATGACAAAATCTCAAAGAGATGACTTGATTACACTAGAGAAAGTGCTAACACCCTTTCAACTACACCA